CTCTTCAGTACAGTGCTGTGGCATCACAGCTTACAGCAACCTCAAACTCTTGAGCTCAAGTGATCCTCTTACTTCAGCCTCCCAAGTAGCTGAATCTATAGGCACTCATCACAATGCCCAGCTAGCTGTTCTATTTTTAGTAGAGATGGGGTCTCACTCTTGCTGTGAAGTTGATGGTCTCAGACTTCTCAGCTCAGGCAATCCACTTGCCTCGGCCTCCCTGAGTGCTGGGATTACAGGTATGAGCCAGTGCGCCTGGCCTCAGACTGACCTTTCTGAAACAGAGTTCAGGTCATATCCCAGGCCATGAAAACCTTTTGTGGCTTCCTTGTGCAAAATGGCAGTGCTTTTCAAACTGGGGCCCATGGCCCACCCAACCAGAACCCCCTGGGCTGTGAAAATTCAGGCTTGAGGTTCTCATTCCTAGCTTTCTAGAACAGTGGAAGCCTGGGATTTTTCGATAAGCCATCCCAGGTGGTCTTTTAGGCACTGAAGTCGGTGAGCACCATCAATAGGATTGGGCTGATGGCTTTCATGCTTCTGTCTAGTTACTCATTTCCTTATAAGTCAAACCTCTGCCCATGACCCCCAAGTGTCCCCAAGCCTCACCAGGAACATCCTGGGCCCTCCTGCCTCTGTGCCTGTGTCCTGTTGTTTTCCTTTCTTGAAATACCTTTCTTGCCCTCCCTCAGTGAACAAACTTTCGCTGAGCTTTCAAGACATAACCCTGCAAGGCCACCTTGGAGACCCGGAGACTCTGCCTCCTGCTGTGTACTGAGGGCTTGGCTAAGGTCTCCTTTCTTCTGCTGCCACAAGGAATCAAGCACAGGTCTCTCCGCCTCCCCTGCAAAGCCACACAGAGAGCTGTGTCTTGTGTATTTCTTTATCCTTCCCACTTAGTTCTGTCACTTGTGCCTACATGTTTACTAGGAGGACAGAGGGAGCAATTTTAAAAGAAGAAATCCCTCTAACTATAGAGTTTGGTTACTTAGGTTTGATTTTGAAAGAAAGCTGGCTCGGCGCCTGTGGCTCAAGCAGCTAAGGTGCCAGCCACATACACCTAAGGTGGCAGGTTCGAATCCCCAGCCCGGGCCTGCCAAACAACAATGAGGGCTGCAACCAAAAAATGGCCAGGCGTTGTGGCGGGCGCCTGTAGTCCCAGCTACTTGGGAGGCTGAGGCAGGAGACTCGCTTGAGCCCAGGAGTTGGAGGTTGCTGTGAGCTGTAATGCCACGGCACTCTACCCTACCCAGGGGGACAGCTTGAGGCTCTGTCTCAAAAAAAAAAAAAAAAAAAAAAGAAAGAAAGAAAGCTGATCTGGCTTTCTGTGCTGGAACACTTTTGCCATCCGAGGGTGTGGGCCTGAGTCACAAAGATGTTCTTGTCAATTTTCTCAAAAATTCTCAGAAAGTCTTGATTTTATCTTTCTAGTCTTTGATTTAGGCTTGTTATTAAACACTGAAAACACTTGCCTTCCTTGTATAAGCTTTTCAGTGTTGTGATGGATGATGGCTTGAAACCCGTGCTGTCCAACATGGGAGCCGTGAGTCCAGTGTGGCTGTTGCAGAGGGGACACGGGGAGTCCGCAGGGTGACACCCCAAGGGAGACACGCTGAGCCCGGAGGACTCGATGGCAAGAAAAGATCATGAATACTTCATCCATACTTTCATGCTGATTACATGTTGAAGTGACAGTAGGCTAAATAAATGAACTAGTGAAATGAATTTCACCATTTCCTTTTACTTTCTCTGACAATGCTGCCGGGAACACTTCACCTCGTGTTTCTGCCAGGCAGCGTGGGGCAGTGCCGGTGCCCTCTCCCCTGCCCCTTTCTGTTCTGCAGACTGTTTTTCCCACTCCCCTCTCTCCACACCCCTGCTTCCTGAGCAACCACGCCTTTCTCTCTACTGGGTAATTCCTATCGGCGTGTGAGCTCTGCTTTAACCCTACCCTACCACCCCTAGGATGGTCTACGCTCACTGTCTCCACTTACCTCACCTCCCATCCCTTCTGAGCACATTCCTTTTTTCCATTCTACTGAAAGTCCCCTCACAAAGGTTGTGACCATCCTATCTCATGGTCAAGTTCCAGCTCTCTCCTCACTTGCACTATCAGTGGAATTTAGCCCAGATGCCACCCTTCCTCAGCTGTCCTGCCCCCCGCCAGGTCCTTCTTAGCTTCCTTTGCCCCTTTCTCCTTATCTCTCCAAGCTCCAGCCCTTCACATGCTCTAAGGCTCAGTCCTTGAACCCCCTTTTCTGTTTAAATCACTCCTGTTTCATGACATCCCATCTAGCCTGTGATCTTAGAGTCCATCTGTTTGCCTGCAGCACCCACATCTGGACCCCTGCAATTTTTGCATTCAGATTAGTTAGACTCTCTCTTGGTTGCAGAAGGAAGGTGGCCAGGTGGGAGGAGAATGGTCTAATTTAGATGCCCACCAGGGTGGGGGTGGGGGAGACAGCAAGATCTGGCAGGAGCCGGGGTACAGTTGGAGATGCTCGTGCAAGTTGGATAATCTTGCTCCACTGCTGCAATCCCGACACTGTCTGGACTCCCAGATGGCTACTGCACGGCGCCTCCCCTCCCCCGTGACACCTGCCCCTGGTCCATTCAGCAAGTGACTCAACATTTGCTCTCTCTCTACCAGAACGCACATCTCCTCCATCAGTGAGCGTCTCCAACTGCACCCCAGCTCCTGCCAGGTCTTGCTGTCTCCCCTCCCCCACCTGGTGGGCATTTAATTAGACCATTCTCCTCCCACCCGGCCACCTTCCTGCTGCGGCCGAGAGAGAGTCTAATCTGAACACAAAGGCCATTAGTGAGTCCTCAGTCGCAACAAGTGAATCATGTCTTTCTCCTCCTGGAACCTTCCACTGGTTCCCCATTTAACTGGGAATAAATCAAAATCCTTACAACACTGGGCGAGACACTATTGGCTCTGCCCCCCAAAGACCAACTGAACCCTGCTGTTCTTGACAAACACCTGCGGGATTCCGCTCTGGACCCTTGAACTTCTGTTCCTTCTGCCTGGAATATTCTGCTCCCCGCAGGACGTGGAGAGCTTTGTCCCGCAGGTCTCATACTGCCTTCCTGGCTTTGCCCAAGTGTGACCTATTAGTGAGACCTTTCCTGTCACTGTCCAAGCAATCGAAGCCCCACGTCCTCAGGTGCCTTTCCTTCTAACTGTGCTTTACTTTTTCCATAGATCTTCAACCTCACATCTACGTGTCTGTCGTGGCTGTTATTCCCATTCAGTTATTGATCGATTGCCTCCCTGCTGGGACATGGGCTCCCAGGGGCCGGCACTTTGTCTGTCTTATTCACTGTCGCCGCCCACACCCAGAGCTGCACCTACCACTGACACTTGGTGGCAGGGAGGGTTTGGGGACAGTGACCACCGCAGCTGCAGACTCCCACACTGCCTGGTGTCTGCAGCAGGTCTTTGGTTAGCCTCGTCTCAGCATTGTGAATTCTGGTCCCTGGTGGATCCTAAGGGTGTCCAGTCCACATCTTCTAATTGTGAAATGGAAGGAGAACCTGCCACAGTGGGAGTGGCGTCCAGAGTAGCATCAGAACCGCTGAGCGAAGTGGGAGTGGGCAGTGGAGGTCACATCCCTGGGAAGGTAGCTCCCATCCCACCTGCTAGTCCGAGGCCCAGATATGGCTGTGCTCAGATCAAAACTCAGGCCCTGCCCATGCAGCTTTCTGTTGAGTTAATTCTGTAAACATCTAATGTTATGGGAGGTTCAAGTGCCACAAATTGACACAGTTGTAACTATTCTGCTTCAAGTGAGCTTTTGAGGAAAAAGCAGATACCTACTCATTAAAAATACTCTTTTGGGCTCGGCGCCTATAGCTCAACTGGCTAAGGCGCCAGCCACGTACACCTAAGGTGGCGGGTTCGAATCCCCAGCCCGGGCCCGCCAAACAACAATGATGGCTGCAACCAAAAAATAGCCGGGCGTTGTGGCAGGCACCTGTGGTCCCAGCTACTTGGGAGGCGGAGGCAGGAGATTCGCTTGAGCCCAGGAGTTGGAGGTTGCTGTGAGCTGTAATGCCATGGCACTCTACCCAGGGGGACAGCTTGAGGCTCTGTCTCAAAAAAAAAAAAAAAAAAATGCTCTTTTGATCAACTTCCTAAGAACAAAGTTCAAAAAACATAGGACAATGCCTTATTCTTCCCTCCTCCACCAAACAAACAAAATCCTACTTTTTAAAAAAGGACAAGATAGCAGTAGAGAGGGAAACCATCTCTGCCCACAGCCCCTCTTCCTTCTTGAGTCGGAGGTGGGGGGTGGAGAGGAGGGCAGCTGGCGAATATTTGTTATGGTACAGCAGGAGGATGGGGACTGTGCATGTATTTATTTTGCAATTAGTGGGAAGTGGAGAAAGTGTCTGAGAATCTTTGCTTTACAGTTTCAGCTACTTGGGAGGCTGAAGCTAGAGAATTGCTTAAGCCCAAGAGTTTAAGGTTACTATGAGCTGTAACACTATGGTACTGTACCACGGGGGACATAGTGAGACTCTATCTCAAAAAAAAAAAAAAAAAAAAAGATGAGAGTATCAACATTGTCCAATGTGTATTTTGTCATCAAATTTTAATGTAATCAGGCAAGGAATGGAGGTGCCGAGCACGAACTGCCTTTTGAAACACCCATTCAGAGGGCCCAGGCCAGGAGTGGGGAAGGTCCTGCCCTGGGGCCTCTGCCTTTGGCTCCACTGCCTCCTTTGGCCCTGAGCCCCAGGCAGATAATAATGCAGACTGCAGAGCCACCGGGGACCAGGACAGGCATTGAATCAGGTCTCTCTCCAAGAAAGGTCTAATGTTGTCATTGCAGGAAGGAACTGTCCGGGCTGCTGAACTTTGCTTTTTATAACCTGAAGGTTGTGATCTCTGGCTAAAATTCTCCCTTTCATTCCAATTCCGTTTTCATGGTTTTTTGTTTCTGACTTATTTACAGAGAATTACCTGAAGAGTCCCTGTCTAAGCCCTCCTCATGGATGGGGGGAACGTGACAGCCTTTGTCGTGGAGGCCACCATGAACGCCTCCGCCCAGGGGAACGGCTCTGTGGGGAGCGTGCGCCGGCAGGTCCCCGCCGTGCACTGGGCGATCCTGAGCCTCTCCCCGCTGGGCTTCATGGAGAACGGGATTCTGCTCTGGTTCCTCTGCTTCCGCATGCGGAGAAACCCCTTCACGGTCTACATCACCCACCTGGCCGTGGCCGACATCTCCTTGCTCTTTTGCATCTTCATCCTGTCCATTGACTACGCCTTAGATTATGAGCTGTCCTCTGGCCACTACTACACAACTGTCACCTTATCGGTGACCTTCCTGTTTGGCTACAATGCAGGCCTGTATCTGCTGACGGCCATCAGTGTGGAGAGGTGCCTGTCGGTCCTCTACCCCATCTGGTACCGCTGCCACCGCCCCAAGCACCAGTCGGCATGTGTCTGTGCCCTCCTGTGGGCACTTTCTTGCTTGGTGACCACGATGGAGCACGCCATGTGCATCGACAGTGGAGAAGAGAGCCGCTCTCGGAGTGACTGCAGGGCGGTCATCATCTTTATAGCCGTTCTGAGCTTCCTGGTCTTCACCCCGCTCATGGTGGCATCCAGCACCATCCTGGTGGTGAGGATCCGGAAGAACACGTGGACGCCCCACTCCTCAAAGCTGTACATCGTGATCGCGGCCACCATCGTCATCTTCCTCATCTTCGCCATGCCCATGAGGCTCCTGTATCTGCTGTACTACGAGTACTGGTCGGCGTTCGGGAGCCTGCACCACGTCTCTCTGCTCTTCTCCACCATCAACAGCAGCGCCAACCCTTTCATTTATTTCTTTGTGGGCAGCAGTAAGAAGAAGCGGTTCAAGGAGTCTCTAAAAGTGGTTCTGACCAGGGCTTTCAAAGATGAGACGCAGCCTCGGCGCCAGGAAGACAACGGTAACACCATCTCCCTTGAGACGGTCGTCTAGGGACTGCAGAGGGAAATCTCAGAGGAAAACGGTGGGACACAGACCATTTTTCATTTGTGCTTGGAATGCAATTTGAGTATCTCCCAAATATGGTACAGAAGGACACCCTGTCCCATGCGCATAAAATACTAATGAACCGTGAGCTTGTATTCTTGTACTGTGTCTTCTGGAAATGCTAAATACCTGCCAGGCCTCTGGCATTTCTGGACTTACCAAAAACTCTTTCTGTTCTCAGCTCCCTGGCAGCATTTTATCACAAACCATAAAACTACCCTAAGAGGAAGATTTACAGATGTGTACAGGAAAAGGTAACAAATGTATTCGTTGAAATTTGGGGGATACTTTAGTGAGAAGAACAAGGGTGACTACCTTGTGTGACATCAGGCAAGTGGTTTAACCTCTTGAAGCCTCATTCCTCACTTTTAAAGTATCACAGCAATAACCCATCCCTCCCAGAGCTGTTGTGTGGGTGACACGAGAAGACAAGGTTCGCAAAGCACCTAGCACATTGAGGTTTTTTTGTTTGTCTTTTGAGATAGAATCTCACTCTGTCATCCTGGGTAGAGTGCCATAGCATCATCACAGCTCACAGCAACCTCAAACTCTTGGGCTTGAGCAATCCTCTTGCCTCAGCCTCCCAAGTAGGGACTTTAGGCGCCTGCCACAATGCTCTGCTAGTATTTCTATTTTTAGTAGAGACAGGTGGCTCACTCTTGCTCAGGCTGGTCTGGAACTCCTGAGTTCAAGAGATCCACCTGCCTCAGTCTCCCAGAGTGCTAGGATTACGGCCATGAGCCACTGTACCCGGCCCTAGATTATTGTTGATGTTTGATAAACATCAGTCTCACCTCACTCCTTTAAGTGGCAGACAAAATATTTATTTCTGTTATGTAAATTGCATGCACGTGCACACACACTCTGAGTTCTATCATGTACAAAAACCGCTAGGTGTTAAAAAATGTTGAATGTAAATTTACGAAGTTCTTTTTGTTTGCAGCTCGAAAGCTTTTCATGTCATCACACCTCTACCGAAACATTGGCAGATGTTATAATCTAACCAACCATGGGCACGAGCATCATCTCGGGTGGTAAAGAGAAACATTTGGCCACCGGTAGGAGTGTCTCATGGCTTCCTTAGCCTCTTTGGAAATACTAGATGTAATCCACCTAGATGAAACGGAAGTCTGTGTTGAAATCCTTTGACTGCATATGAATTTTCAGGAACAGAGGTTAATTCATGAGGTCATGAGGGTGCTGGTGTTTCTGAAGACCCCTCCCCTCCCGTGGAGTGCTGAGTTATTGACTCACCTGCAGCCAGATGCAGGTCCCTGCCCCTCACTCTATCCTCCTGAGAATGTCTTTGTGTCATTCGCAGGAGGAGACGTGGCAGGGGCTGATGAGAGGGTGGCCACAGCTTGGAGGAGATGTCGTTTCCTCATGGCAGACCTTTGTGTGACTTTCTCAGCATCTTTATTCAGCACTACCCAGGGTGGGCTCTGCCTCTCATCTGCTGTGAGCTGCCGTCCTCAGACTGTGTGGCCTGGAGTTTAGCATCTTGTCCTATAGATGACACCTCTGTGCTTATTTCCTTTGGTGTCTCCTAGGAGTTCTGCGAGAATGGTGATATTCCTTGAGATCCAGTGGGGAATAAAATTTCTAGTCCATAAATGACCCATTAGTATTTATTTTAACTGTTTGTCCTCCAAAGGGTCAGAGAAACTATAATGAAATGGCTTTTCTGTTGGGGGACGTTGATGAAATGATTTCTCTGTTGGGGGACGTTGATGAAATGGTTTCTTTGTTAGGGGAATGTTGATGAAATGGCTTCTCTGTTGGGGGACATTGATGAAATGATTTCTCTGTTGGGGGACGTTGATGAAATGGTTTCTTTGTTAGGGGACGCTGATGAAATGGTTTCTCTGTTGGGGGATGTTCCTTCTCTATCCTCTTCCTTTTTTTTGAGATAGAGTCTCCCTGTGTGGCCCTGGGTAGAGTGCCATGGTGTCATAGCTCACAGCAACCTCAAACCCTTGGACTCAAATTATCCTCTTTTCTCAGCCTTCCAAGTAGGGACTACAGGACCTCACCACATGCCTGGCTAATTTTTGTATTTTTAGTAGAGATGGGGTCTCACTCTGCTCAGACTGGTCTTGAACTCCTGAGGCAAGCAATCCACCCTTCTTGGCCTCCCAGAGTGCTAGGATTAGGGGTGTGAGCCACCCACCGCACCTGGTCTGTCCTCTTTCTTTCTCAAAGAAAGAATTGCCTATCACTATGGGGGCCACTTCATGGGGGAAGATGTGCCTTTCTCTCCCACAGAGCCACCGTGCCTGCCACCAGCCAAGCTTGGATGCAGGAGCTTTTCAGTGGGTGACACCATCTGATTCAGAAACAAGGCAGCTTGCTTTCAAGAACCCAGATGGGGTGTGGAGCAATGACATTTAAAATGATCTTGTTTTGGGTTGAAAACAGAGCATCTTCACCCAGAAAGAACAGAATATGGAGATCAGAGTGACTTCTGTCTGTTTCCTGTCATCTCCCCGGATGCTGCCTGTGGGTCTCTGGGTTAGTGAAGTGACTGACCTCATCTCATCTCATATGGGATCTTGGTCTCAAAGAGGACCCTAGAGACTATTTGATATGGGGCCCTTCTACCTAAGGAAAGAGTGTTGAAGGAGTAGGAAGCCCTCATTTATTGTCTTTCTGCAAATAAGGTGGGAAAATTGAATGTAATAAAACATAAAGATTCTTCTAAACTTTTAAAGTAATACCTAAAAGAGTTCAAAGGTTACCAGTATTGTGAAAACAGACTTGTTCCTCTCTCTCTTCTCTTAAACCCATTCCCAAAGTTAACTATAAAGTTAAAATTAAAACAAGGAGATTTAAATAACTTGCAAATAGGGAGAGAAGACTAAGTAATTTATACCCTTTGAGCATTTAGATAATTTACTTACGTCATTGGCAGTTACCAGTGTGTTATTTCTGAGAATTCACCTGCTGTAAGGGTGGGAAGGAGAGCCTTGGAATGTAACACCCGGCCTGAAAGAAGGTTTGTAGTGTCCATTCAGAAAGTCTTCTCTGCAAAATACCGTAATTCAAACATGGCAAAGATGGGCAAATGGAAGCCCTCCACCCCCTGGAAGCCCCAGGAGAGAACAACCCACACCTAACTACAACTCTAGCTGCACATACATTTTACACGGATACGTTTGGAACAAATTTTTATGGCAGTTAAGAAGAAGGAGAATCACATCTTTCTAGTAAAAACGGAATGTTTCTTGGAGGTGCCCTTTGGGCTGCTTGCTTGAAGTCAGGTAGGATTTCAAAGACTAAGGAAGATTGGAGGGGTTTTAGGCAGAGGCTGGCCCTGCCTGCAGGCAGGGATGGGAGAATTCAGGGAAGCAAGTCCAGTCCCTGTCATCTCTGCTGTCTGCTGGGAGAAGTGGTCCTTGTGGGCTCAGACTGCCCTATGTGACCACCTCCTTCCTCTCGCTTTGCTGCAGTTACCTTTGACTTTCTGGTACCACAATCTTGGAGTGGGGTTCTGGGCTTTCTCCCCAGGCCTTGGTTGCCCTCATTCATGGGTTCCCACCTCTGCCTCAACCCAAGCTCCCTTCCTTTTTGAAGTATACTCTGGGTCTTATTCCAACTTCACATTGATTGTCTGGTTAAAAGAAAGGCCAAACTCTGTAAAATATTTTAAAGAGGTTTATCCTGAGCCTAATCTGAGTAACTGTAGCCTGGGGTTACCCAATCCCCAAAAGCCTTGAGTAAGTGATCCCAAGGCAGTCAGGCTAGTCACAGTTGGGTTTTATACATTGCAAGGAGACAGGAATTGCAGGTACAGCCATAAATCTATCCAAGGAAGTTTATGTTGGTTAAGCCCAAAGGTGGGGTTTCTTGAAGCAGAAACCTACAAGTCACGGGTGGACTTAGAGATTCTTTAACTGGCAATTGGCTGAGAGAGTTAAGCTTTGTCCAAAATTTGCAATCTGTAGGAAGAAATTCCTAAGTTCTTAAAGGGGGAAATTCCTTTTCTTAAAGGGGGTCTGTTTTCTGTCATGCGATATCATGCCAGCAGTAAAAGACCTGCTAACTAGATTTTATGGATTGTAAGGCATGACTTAAATTTGGCCTGGTGTAGCCTCAGGTCATGTTTGTATGTGGTATCTCATTTTTACAAAGTCTGTTTTGTCAGTCCTATACTCTATTTTAACACTAATGCTGATCAGGCGCATCCAAACTCCCAAAGGGAGAGGGAATAATGAGGCATGTAAGACCACCCTTACTGTCATGGCTAGGAACTCAGTTTTATAGTTTTTGTGTGGTCTCCTTGGCCAAAAGGGGCTCCATTCAGTCAGTGGGGCTTAGGATTTAATCTTAAGTTTACACTCTTCCGAAAGGTAAGATCATCCCATACTTCCACATTCCAAACCTGACCGCAATCTTCTACCCTCTATATCCTGTACTTTCTTTCTCCCATTGCTCCTATTTCTATGCCATCGACACCTCTAGTCTCTGACTGTTCGCTTGCAGACTTAAAGAAAGAAACTGAGGCAAAATTAATATAAGTAGAGAGTTTATTGGGGTCAAATTTGAGAACTGAACCCAGGACACAGATTCATGTTGCCCTGAATATATGCTCTGATTGGAAGCAGTAATAAGTGGGATTTTAAATGAAGGAAGAAGACAGTTCTCAGATTGTTTCATTCGAATAACATAAGGTATTGATTGGCTATAATCACTCTCTGTATCACACATTCCAGGAAATGGAGATAATGGGTGACGGTCACATTGTGCAACTTGTGATAATATTTTAAGTAATTTATCAACTAAGCTAGAAACTACAGGCAAGGAAAGAACAAAACACCCTTGAACAACTGCCCCGGGGACATGGGTATGGGGGTGTCCCATGTGCTTGTCTCTCCGGGCCTGGTAAATCATGCACACCTTGCATGGCTCAGACCCTGGGAGTCCCCTGCTGCCTTCTCCCTCCCCTG